TGTAACAAGCCTATTGAAAACGGGTCATATCCAATGACGCCGTACGGTCAAACCGAGGTACTCTGCCGCTTTTATTTATGTACATGCCTCGGTACATGCAAACAGTTAGTATCTGGATAAATTAGATCCCTACCAGTCTGAAGGTTAGGTGAGAAGAACCCCTGTGTACACAGGAACATTCTAACTTCGTTAGTTCGCTATTATTTGTTAAGATGTCAAAACCTGTACACATTGGCAAAAATTTTTGAAATATGTGATTGGAATGTAACATTAATTTGTTAAGTATAGAAATAAAACGCTTTGAGGATCGCTTCATGGGAGAGATGATGTAACGAACGCAGTACATTCCTATTTTTATTTATGGATACACATACTTCATGCGATAGGTACATAAAAATTGCGTGTTGTCCTTACATTTCCATCTGTTTTAATTTTTAGACCGATTATATAAATTGTGATTTTTCAGTCAAACGCTAAATCTACGTCATTTTACAATTTCCTCCTTTTAAGGGCTCGAATAAGAGGAAAATTGCCCGAGAAATGACGCAGAATTTGTAAAATCAACGACCACGTAAATTTTTTTCGGGTCGTGGCACACACGATCAGAATATTATTTAATGGTGTTACATATTTAGCTCAACTCGGGAGGAAATTACGCATTAAACGCTTCTACTTATTTCTATATTCACAGGATTCAGAGTTGCCACACTCGTCCACAAGGATTCACTTCTTTTTAAATTAGTTATTTCCTTGTAATATAAGTCCATTATAGAATATGTCGGTAAACGTAAATAATTCTTTCGTAAATACCCACTAAAAATGACTGCAAATAGACAGTCTCGAGTTCTATACGTAGATCTACTTTAAGCGAGACTTTAAGTTAATGTAATGGGGAACTTTGCATTAAATACACGTTTAGTATCCAAAATTATGCTATCCGGCTTTCGGTTAAGTCGAGGGTTAAGTACACATTTCCGGAACACAATGTACCACACTCGGACTTCGGTATCACATTACCCTCGGCATTACCCACACACTCTTCTCAAATCTCTAGAGAAGAAAGGCAATACGTTTCGTTGCTCTATGAGATGACAGAAGACACGTACAGGGTGTCCCATTCAATGTTTTTGTGTATTTTTTTAAATACCACCATATCTTAATTTTTTGAATCACTAAAACCTTTTTTTGAATATGGCCCCTTGTGTGTTATGATATTAAATTCTCCATATCTTTTTCGATTTACACATAATGGACTATTTAAAATTCACCATTTTTTTTATTTTCCCCCGTAACTTGTGCTGTTATACCTACAATGTATAGGATTGAAAATTTTACCTTCACTTGGTTACGCCAATGATGTTGATTTTTCTTACTGACTCGTTGCCTTGTAGTTGCATAGGTTATAAACTCGTTGTATAAAACTTATCTTTTTTGCTTTGCCTATATAAATATCTGTTATGTATTATGTGGTAATGGTATATCCAAAACGTAATTTGGGCAAATTTGCGTGAAAAAAATTTGGGAGCGTTGTGCTCAGATAAAGCACAAATTTTAAATATCGCAACAAGATCACAATCGATACGTTACCTGACTTATACAATCAATAAATAGTGTGTGCTTTATTGCAAACGTTATAGGTTACACTGTTACAGTATAAGCAATACAAACAATTCCATGTTAGTGCTTGCTTACAATGAACGTATACGTAAGAAATACATAACTTTTAAAAATTTCGCAAAGTTGAACTGTATAGAAACATACGAAGGTGTTTACAATGAACGTAATTTTTACGTACGTATATGTAAGCGATATGTAAGTCTTGCGCATAGTCGCAAAGGTTGAAAATGTTTCAAAGTTGGGTACCTACGGTCAAATATCATACTACTTGTAAGTGTGCGTTTACAATGAACGTTTACGTAAATATTTCATAAACCGTAACTCGAAAATATCCGTATCGTTTCCGTCAATTAACTTCGCTGTTTACAATAAACCAAAGATCATACTACAAGTAGTATGATATTTGACCGTACGTAACTTTGAAACATTTTTAACCTTTGCGACTATGCGCAAGACTTACAAATCGCTTACGTATACGTACGTAAAAATTACGTTCATTGTAAACACCTTCGTATGTTTCTATACAGAACAACTTTGTGAAATTTTTACTTTTTATGTATTTCTTACGTATACGTTCATTGTAAACAGAGTTGTAAACGCACACTAAGTATGATCTTTGGTTTATTGTAAACAGCGATTTACGGAAACGATACGGATATGTACGAGTTACGGTTTATGAAATATTTACGTATACGTTCATTGTAAACAAACACTAAGTTTCGTAACTGCACAATCTATCACAAATCAATACACAATTTGAACGAATATTCTAATGATAAATTGGATTATAATTTACTCCAAAGTCTCGCGCAACGATATAAACAATTGTTCAGAGAAACGCAAGTGCAATTTAGTTTATTTAATATTATCGTACGTAGAATGCAAGGTAGACGTGCCTTAATCTCAAACCAGCTACCTATGTAGTGTAACTGTGCTGTCATGGGAAAATGCAGATAACGACTTAAGTTTCCCAATTTACGGAAAAGTATAAGTATAAAAGTATAACAACAAATGCTTCATAAATAAGATCAGAGTGTTAACAACAAAAGCTTTCCATGTACTGGCGGTGTTTGTCGTACTTGAAGTGGAAGTAGGTCAACGTAAATACATCTTGTAAATTGGTCGATTGGCGTTGGAAATCGTTTCTATTCGTTGATCAATTATTGATATGTATGAAAGAGCAATTTCGGAATAATATTTAGCATTTTTTCCACTAATTATACGTCAAGCTCGCCTTGCCTGCTTCACGAGTCTCCTTCGTAAGGAGCTTTTCCTTCGGTTTCTCCGCGTTTGAGAAGATTGTAAGGCGTCGCGTCGTGTTTATGTCCAAAAATGGGCATTTTTTTGTACTTATCAAATAAGTAAATATTAACTTGAATGTGACCCATCGACCAAGAGTTATTCCCACTTTAGCAAGTGGGTATGTCTTAACATTAACAGTAGATTAAGTATTTAGTACAGACTGATAAATCCCGTACGTAAGTGCAAATACAAACAATTGTTATTTCAACGCTAACGCTATTGAAAACTAGTTTAAGCAAGTGTTTTTCACATTTCACCAGCCTATACTCTGTTTTTTAACTAGGAAGACGAATTTAAAAGTTCCCGCAAAAAATCTTAGTTTCTATTGGCTCGCGCTGCGCCCGTTTTACACCCAGGTAAAATTGCTATTGACATGATTTAACTGTCAAATTTAATCGCGATTCTCGTCCTTTAACTGTTGTACTTATTTTTGAGTTTTTGTGTGTTCTGAGTCCATTTGCATAAATTTTAACAAAAAAACCAGTTCATTTAAGAACTAAAGTTCATATTTCGCGTCCTAAGTGTACTGGCATTAGTGATGGATTCAACTCCAAGTCCAAGTACCAGTAAAGCAAGCTTGTCTCCTTTGAAAAAACGTAGTCGCTTAAACTTGGGTCATTTTATTAGTCTCCGAGAAGCAGTTTATTATAAACAAATGTCTGATACCCCGGATATGAATTTTGGTACGCTTGTGTTGAAGATTGCATCTACCACAGGTAACGTAAATAATGATGTAGGTATATATTTGGTTATTAAAGTATGACACATATCATATTTAGGAGTTGCACGATCTACAGTATACCAGATAATTAAAGAATATCGAAGTACTGGGATTGTTACCCCTTCGAAACGTTCCGGTGGTCATAACGCTGTTGCAAATGTGAGCTCTGACGATTGGTGGAATTGTGTGCAACACGTTATTAAGGAAGAAAATAAGGATTGGATGGCCTAATGGGTACACTTATAGACCCATTAATTATTTCACTCCGATCGGAGGACAGTGACAGTTTTAGTGAACTTTCGGAAGACAGTGACCAAATCGCTTATACATAAAGCAGTGAACTGTTCTGTTTAATAATACGAGTATAATTCCATTATTTTGAATTTGTTCAATAACTTAACATTTGTTGTAAATTGTAAGGTGGATTGTGTAGTATTACAACTGATAAAACATTTAAAACTACAATTCAAAATAATGTTTCAAAGGCCAAAAAATGTATGCAGGATGATTACCTATTATCAATGTATTACATATTTATTTATTATAATTCGCTTTTAAAAGTATGATGTATGCATAATATAAAGGCGTTCCTACCAAATAATAACCCAAAAGCATAAATAATGAAATCTATCCAAATGTGAAAGAAAATCACATCACGCAACCCACAATACATGTCTGTATAAAATGAGTCTATTATTTTTGTTACTAGATTCTAGTGACATTTCCAGTGTAAATCAGGTTTTTAAATCCGTCTTCCTAGTTAAAAAACAGAGTATAGAGGACATAGAGTAGTAAGTAGTAACTATAGTGACTACTGAAACGTCGGGAGGCGTTTTAATGATCCTAAACAGTAAAACGTCATTATTTAAAGTTGTTATTTGTCAAACATTGAATAACACGTGTGAAAATAGTACGTGCATAATTAGCCACCTACGATTTCTACATACTTAAGTAGTAGTATAGCTACGCTTTTGAATAAAGGCCTGTGTGTGACAGAAGTTTTCCCATAGTTTTTCAGAAAAAGTTAAATTACTTAACTTCTTTGTTACTAGGCAACTGGATATGTCTCGTTCTTTTTTCAAAAGCACCGCTCTGTTTCATTCTATCCAACACACCGACAAGAACGGATCTGCAGCTGCACTGATTCATTCTTTCTCAATGGTGACTACACGAAATTTCTAATAACAAACGGGATTCAAGTGATACCAGTGCAACTATAACAGTAAAACTGACCCTACGGACATCCCCACTAGTTGAGAACCGCCGAGTTATCGAATAAAGACTGTGTTATGATTTTTTTCTTTACCTGTAGCACACCTGTTAACGCTTATCCTTTACAATTCGAAGGGCAAGTACTTACATGCGTATACTGATGGCGGTATTAATTAAAGCTGGCACTAGAATGAATGCTAAGGTTGCAAGAAAGCATTCGATGTGATTGTTTGCATAATATCTATAGGCTAAATTGCAGTCTAATCCGACGTCGACGATATGACTTATTATTGATATCACAAATCCGGCTATATCTAAATCACTAACTCTGTCTTTCGACGGTAGTCTGTCCACCTCGTCCCTACTTATTTTGTTTCTGCACATTTTTGTGTGATAAAATGCCATTACCATCACGTTAAAAATAATTCATTCCGCGCACTACCTCTCCACATCACGTGTGGAACGCAACTGAACATATGATTCATTTTGTTCACTTCCCCAACCGATTTCCAATTTCAACTACACGCATGTCGACAGTGGCGGAACCAATTTATGGCACAAGTGGTGTACATACCAAATAAATTGTAAGATTAAGCCGGTAATTAATTAATCTGGGAGTCATTATAGGTCAGTATTCAATCAATAAAATGCAATAAACCAAGTGAAAGTCCAAGGTGAAAAAATTTTTTGTCTTCAAACTTCATTTCCCAACTTATTTCATGACATAAAAGTTTGACATTCTACACGTCTGTGCGTTGGCATCACTGATCTGAATAAAAGAGAGTGGGTTGCCTCGCTACGAGTAAAAATAAGAGGAGAGGATATATCGGTGGTGGCAAATAGCATAACACACGACGGAAGTCGTCAAAATATCACTTCCTTTTCCTTTGTGCTGGTCAGTTATGTCGACTTGACTTATCATAAAACAGAAGAGACGATGGCAGTTTTGTTTTATTACACCACTGCCAATAATGACGCGTTTCTCCCCACTCTTCTCGCAGTTCTATCACTTCCTTTTTGTCCATTTCCGTCCAGTCCCCTTTTAATGCAAGGTCTCTCCTTTTATTTTTTAGTCGTATAGTTGCCTCGTAACTTTCAGCCAATAAACGTTCAGTATTATATTAAGATACGCTACCACATGGTAGTACTGAAAAGTCCCTGCATTGCATAGAAAGAAACATGCTAGAGAAATATTAAACGCACTATTCAAAATACCTTACATTTCATCTTCATAGTATTCGGCCGGGAAATGCAGACTGCACAGTCTATTGCATACGAGGTTCAGGTTCCCCTTTCCATTGCACTTTATAACCACGCACTTATAAATTAAGATGGACTGCTGATCAAACAGTTGCATAGAGGTAGAAATGGCCGTAGCATGGGCGCGGCCATGATGTGACATTTTAGTTATTTCTAGGGGAATTTTCCTAGTGCTCAAGTTTTGAGACTATTGCAGCCTTGGAAAATGACATGTGTCACTGTAACTTATTTAGAAAACGCGAGGTTAATGCTTGTTTATTAGTTGATTTGAATTTCGCGCCAAGTGAGTGCACATCAGGGCTACCTCCATGTAGGTGTCATTTGTCAATTCAGCATTAGCAGTCCATCTTAATTTATAAGTTTGTGGGTTTAAACGATCATTTGTACGCCGTAGTTTTAAACTAAAATTTTTAAATCAAATTGACATTTATCGTTATACGGTTACAATTTGACATTACCTTACCAGGTATATTGATCCTACAATCAATGAAATTTCTTCTTTCAAATTTGCACTTTAACATTGAAATTGCCGTAGCTGATTACCGGAGTACAAAAATAGCGTATATACCACAGGACTACTACGTTTCGGGCAACAATCTCTCGGGATTAAAACACACACTTTAGTCCCTCGGTATATAATATACTATCTTTTTCACTACTAGCGTCTGATGACATGATTATTAACCTTTTTTCCACTTGTAAAATAGGCTTTCTCGGCAATTGTTCAAAGTGGTTAATAATGTGGACATTATTAACTAGTAGTCAATAATGAGAACTGTCACGCTGTCACTTTTAAAAAACACAACCACAACTTTCGCTCTATAAACGTTTGGACAAGTTCTCTAAAATGAATAATTGCCACCATCCGCCATTTCTAGAGAAATTACATACCTAAAATTATCACATTGACAGAACAAAATTGCGGCCTGTTTGACTTGTACTTCTACGTACTTGATTGACATGTTAAATTAGGAAACAAAAAATTCTGTCCAACCGTTCACTTTCTTATCAATATAATATATTAATTTAGAGGACTTCAAGGACTAGTAGTGAAAAAAATAGTATATATACCACGGTAGAGAAGTCTATTATTGGCTTCGCACCTTACATCCCTCGGCGCAAGCGCCTCGAGATGTAAACTTGGTGCTCAGGCAATAATACTGTACTTCTCTACCTTGATATATATTGTACTATTTTTCACTACTAGCGTCTGATGACATGATTATTAACCTTTTTTCCACTTGTAAAGTAGGCTTTCTCGGCATTTGTTAAACTTAAAAGTGGTTAATAATGTGGACATTATTAACTAGTAGTCAAAAATACATTAACAATAAATAGCATCTCAGATAAATACTCACCATCATAGGTCAATAAAAACATCTTTTTTTCCGGCAGAGGTAGCTAATAATCTTAGCAATTGATGCTTCCACTATCGTTGATCTATATCGAGATTGATTAAAAAAAAAAAAAAAACTAGTACTCAATAATGAGAACTGTCACTTTTAGAAAACACAACCAAAATTTCGCTCAATAAACGCTTACACAAGTTCTCTAAAATGAATGATTGCCACCATCCGCCATTTCCAGAGAAATTACATACCTAAAATTATCACATTTTGAAAAAAATTGAACGAAATTTCTCTTTGAAAACATCTCAATGACAGAACAAAATACGGCTTGTTTGACTTGTACTTCCACGTACTTGATTGACATGTTAAATTAATAAACAAAAAATTCTGTCCAACCGTTCACTTTCTTATCAATATAATATGTTAATTTCGAGGACTTCAAGTGCTAGTAGTGAAAAAAAAAGTATATATACCACGGTAGAGAAGTCTATTATTGCCTTCGCACCTTACACCCCTCGGCGCAAGCGCCTCGAGATGTAATCTTGGTGCTCAGTCAATAATAGGTACTCCACTTCTCTACCTTTATATATAATGTACTATTACATATTTACAAAGACGGTGATTTTTATTATACGCGAACGTCATGTGACATTCCCATGGCAATCATATAACGTCCATATGATTTTATTTTATTTCCCTTATCTTTATATTATATTGCAGTATAATAAAAAATACTATAAGAAACGCGTATATAATTGGTCTATAAAGCGCTTGCAAAGTTTAAAGGCACTCAGCTGCGCGTCGTGCCCTTAAACTCGTTGCGCGTGCTTTAAAGACTTGATTATACACATCATACATCATACATCAACTTTGATCAATTTTGGTAGTTATTTTAGGAACTGAAAGTTGTCCTATTTTTGTAATGTTTAGAACCTGTCCTATTTTCCCTCAATTTTTTAGTAACTTTTGACAGATTATAGGGAATTTGTAAAATTAAAATTAAATTTATATTCATTTTTAAAGCTCACTATAATACGTTGACAGTAGATAGAGACCGTAGTTTACAGCGAAGACCAAGGACCAAAAATTTGACTAAATAAGTGATCGTTACAAAGGGGCTTTAGTCCAAGTTCAGCTTAAACTTGTCGGTACAAATCGTCGTCAGGCACTTGGAATGGATTTCCTCGCATGAAACAAAGAAATTGTGATTAAAACGAATTTTCTTTTAGGAATTACTGGTAGAATAGACTATTTTACAAGTGGAAGTGACCATAGTCCATAGGAAGGGTTACGGCGCGGCGATCAAATAAAGTTGTCCCTTACATAAATGTTTGTCATGACCCGCCACTGAATACCGCCCACAGCTATAGAGGTAAAATCAGCTTGAATCAGAGCCTATTTCGAAATTGTTTGAAAAACTTTCGTAGGCTACCTAGAGTAAGAGAAAAGAAATCATTTCTTAATTTAAAATAAGCGTGGTATTACGGTTAGAAAATGAATGATTTGTTTATTCATAAACGATTGTAGTTAATACATTTTAAAATAAATTTAAATTTTGTATTTTGCTCAGGTTGGGGACTTTTCATTTTTCTCCACGTCAAATTTAATGACACGAAAATAACCCCAAATTTGACACAAATATGAAAATTTTATAAACAAATCTTAATTTTTTTAGTTATCGTAGAAAGTAGCGCTATTAGAATGGTAACCAGAAATTTATCTGAAGTTTTTATGTTAATGCGAAACAATGCCATGCGAAATAGGCACATATACACAGAGGTATAATATCTTTTCTATCATTTCCTGCTACTAACATTTTCGTGTGTAGGATGTTTCAGAGAATATGGCCTTAGTTGAACTTTACGATGTCGACCAAGAGACAGGGTACAACAACCGGATGCCTCCAGCGTGGATCGATCAGTTAGAAGAAGCTCAATTCATGATAACAAAGCTTAAAACAAAAATCACTGAACTAAACACGTTACATTCGCAGCATCTGCATAGACCCACCTTTGACGAAAACTCAGAGGAGGAGTTACAAATCGAAGGTTGCACATCTGAAATTACATCCATGTTTAACAATATTCATAGAATAGTTCAATTCATTAAGAGTCATATGTACGAAGGTACTCCGAAGGAGAGGCTTCTTACTACTAACGTTATTAGATCATTAGCGAATGCTTTACAAGATCTATCAGTGAATTTTCGTGCCTCACAGAATACCTACATCAAACAACTCAAATCACGAGAGGAACGCTCAAAGATGTACTTTGAGAATTCCACGTTTGAAAATGATTTTGACGTCTTTACTAATCAAAGTGAAAGTATTGATGATTTCTTCGTGAATAGTTCGAAGCAAATGACACATCAACAACTTTTGTATTTAGAAGAGGAGAATACGCAACTCGCGCAACAACGTGAGCATGAGATTAACGCTGTTGTAAAATCCATTGTTGAGTTGAATGAAATTTTTAAAGATTTAAGCCAGATGGTTTCAGATCAGGGTAGTGTGTTAGACAGGATAGACTATAATATTGAACAAACTCATAGTCAAGTCTATGAGGGGTTCAAGCAGTTACAAAAAGCAGATAGTTATCAAAGGAAAAATAGGAAAATGTGGGCGATTATTATATTAGCGGCCACTACTATATTATTACTTTTTATATTAATTGTAGTGAAATCTTAAAAAAGATGGATAAAGACTGTTGTGATTAGTTTATAAGATCTAATTTATTTTGTCTAGTCTTATTTTGTAATTTGTGCTTTTTGGCTTAGGTTCCTCTTACAGAGCAGTGATTAAGGATAGATACATTGTTACGCCTTCGTTGATATACAAACAATTAAACATCTATTATAAGCAGAAAAATTTTCAAAATTGTTATTAAATAATCATACATTTATTATAACAAAATAATCTTCTAAAAGTGGGATTATTTAAGACAACCTATTGCTGCATGTATTTTTATAATCTTTTACATGAGCAACTACAGTCTGATTTGCATAATGTAAATTGGGGTGGTGTATACTTGTCAAAAAAAATCTCGGTCGCAAAGGGTGACATTTAAATATATGATTTTATGTCTTGTTTAATTTTATTATATAATGTTTAAATACTAAATATAACACCTCCACTTAATGACATATTAGCTGCATTAATTTATTGTGATCGTGTAGCTGCAGGGCTTATACAGAGTGGTGACTTGCGTAACGCATCATAGGGATTTCAATGTAAAATTCATAACATGCGATTATTTATGGCACTCAACCGTATTAGTTTTCAATTTTTTTCATATAAAGACGGAAAATTGGAAAAATAAACTCGCTTTTTTCAATAATCTGCGATGCCATGGAATTTTCTAAAGCAAAAAGATATCCAGTTATCAATTAGCAGCAGTTCGAAATGGATTTTATGATCGACTTGGTTACTGTCTTGCAGTTAATGGTGACTATTCGAACATTTATTGTAAATTGTTATATTAGGAAACCGTTTTTAGTAATTTGATATTTCTTTATGTTGAATTCGCTGTTCTAAATATAATCAATATGTCAATGATAGCTACGTATGGATATGTATATCTTTGTTACCCAAACATTGCAGATGTCATTTTTAATAATGGTGGATAACTGGTAGCTATTATGGCTTTTTCTCAAATAATTATAATTTCTTTCTAGGTACTTGAAATAATATTTTTGTTATAATTGAGTCATTACATAACAGTATGAAGCTAAATTTCAGTGTGAATGGATGCTCTCCTATTTTATGTTACCTTTTTTTTTTGTTCTTACATGTTTTAAGTTTAGTATGCATGTGTTTACTAGCACGTGCCCACTAGGTGAGATTAATTGTGATGTTGCTCTGTAACTGGCTTTGCTGTTGAGCAATAAATATATATTTATTTATTTATTTATACTTTTTGAAAGAATTTGATTTGTTTTATAGCAGACATTCCATAGCATGACGGATATTGGCGTAGTTTTTGTATTATAAAACTCCATGGCATCACAGATTGTTGAAAAGATGGGGGATTTATTTTTCCAATTTTCCGTCTTTATTATGCAAAAAATTGAACACTAATACGGTTGATTGACGTAAAAATTTTTTTCCTACAAAAAACCTAAATACATTTTTGCTCAAAAATAATTTGGGGAGCGAATAATCGCATGTTATGAATTTTACATTGAAATCCCTATGATGCGTTACGCAAGTCACCACCCTGTATACTTAGCTATTATATCATTGCAGTTGCAGCATTGTTACATTGTGGCACCAAGAAACTGGTGTGCGGGCTAGTTGTATCATGATAGCTGAATGTCGGTCAGTTAAGGCACATACTTTGTATCTCGGTGACTATTAGATGTAAAACAATGAAATTATGGGGCTACCTAGACAAAACCACCCTTAACATTATCGAATGGTTCCATAATGGTGGCTGTCACTTGCCAACAGATGTAGAAATGTGTTGCGCATGCGGCGGATAGGTACCGTCCCTACCTCTACAGACGAGAAATTTCAAAACGGAACTTACTTATTAAACACGCCTCGTATTAACACACTACACATTCCACTAAAGCAGCATATACGAAATTAGGGAAAAGTTGCGCAATCAAGGAATAATTATATCATGCTGTAAGGAATACCCACACATTGTGTGTTGCATACTGTGTCGACAACACCTTAGATACGTTAAGCGCAGTCTAGTTATAGCAAGTCTCTGGCGCTGAGAGATTTTCAATATAACGTTTCGTTTTGAAAAAATCATAAAGTTTTTTTTATATGGCCCGTAAAAAACTATGTATGCTGTATTGTAGCATCTTTTATTCGAATACAACGATGTGCAACTCACAAAAAAAAGTTGGAAACTGCTTCAACAGGAGGGTGCACCCGCGCACAACACCATAATGGTGCGTGAATCTCACAAATTTCCTGCAAAATGAAAAATTTCTCCGCTTATTAGTGTCTGTATATTAGACTAGACCTCCTATGCAAACAAAAAAGTACCTTTTTTATAAGTATCAATATTTATTTTTTAATAGCATTGTTGGACCCTCACATTTAAATTTCCTGTAGGAATTTTAATCTGCACATAACACTGCAGAGCATTGTTAAAGAAATTATGTTCCTCATTGGCCTGTAGCGTGATTATACAGTGAGTTTTTCTTACAGGTGAACATACAATTTTTCCAATGTACATAATGATAGAAGGTTATTACATGCAACCACCCTGTATCACAAAATTATTATTAACAACATTCCACCATATTTATTTAAACAAGTTTAGGGGAAAGCATAGGGAAACAGAATTAATGTATTTTTTCGCTAAGGATCCATGAAACCTTTGATATGCATTTGAAGTTATAGCGTTCAACGTACGTTATTGGGTTTGCCTGATGCTACAATACAACAGATTGGAGTAGTACGTATAATGCTAATTTCAGAGGCTTCATGGATCCTTCGTGAAAAAATACATTGCTGTTGCCCTATGGTGCGTTCTACCTGGAACACACTGTATACATCACAAAAGGTTCTTGTTAGGATACCACTTCATAGAACTACACTCTAAACTCCCGAGTTGTGGCAAATCAGATAATAAGCTCTACTATGTATACGCACATTCACACTTGCTGAAAGCAAATGTCTGAGAGAAATTGCTTTTACAGCTTGGTTAAGCGTAATTTACACGGGTAATTTTAATTTATACATAGTGTAAAGAATAGAATATAGCTACACCTTGTCACTTAACCTGCAACATAAACGAATTTTATAGACTAACTGGCAGTAGTAGTTAATAGATTCATCACATCCCCGGTGAGCAGTTCCAATGCCCTAAGTCAAGGGTTTCATCTGACCACTCTAAGCAAACAGAAATAAGATTAGAATCAAAAACTAAAATTTGAAATAACATTTATTGCAAAGAAATAAAATTACAACTTGTCCACAACATTATATACTTACGGATTTACGTCATTAACAATGTCAAGTCAGTGAAGCATGTTTGTCGTCCTTACTAAAACGATTTAAATAATAAACAGTTGGAGAACAAATAGGAATTTTTTACAACATTTAATATTAATTTACAAAGTTGGATTAATTTGTTTAATAGCTACCTAAACCTGTTTATATGTATCTAAAACGTGTTTTTTATATTCTGACGGTTTTGACCATAACTCGGCAGCAAGAGCATTTAAAGGGCTGTCTATATTAGGCTCTGCGAGTAGTGACTGAATCGATAATAAAATAGTTCTCACATCATACAAGGCTGACCATTTATCTTTTAAAATATCCAAGCATATATTACCGTTGTTATCAACATTTGGATGAAAACATGGAGTGATAAATTTAACACCTGGTGCTGTGTATGGATAAGAGTTCGGAAATTGTAAACAAAGTTTATACTTTTGCAATTCGTAGACGGTTTCTTTAGGTCCGGCGATTGTTCCAATCCATCGGAATAAATTGTCGCCCTCCGGAAATGCAGATACACCTCTTTCTTGCGACATCATTAACGACATTAGCTCCTTTTGTAACCTACACAAAACAAATGATAAAAATTAGCAAGGGAAAGATGCTTATAGAATCCTGTGAAAATGTAACCAACCTTTTTGTAACTGCATGACTATCATTTGTATTAGATCTTCCTTCTTCGCTATGTTTAGAATTATTTGCTCGTTGTGCGTGGTAGGGATCTACGTTTTGAGCCATTTTCACAAATTCGTTTATACAAAGTACTTATTTTGAAGGCAGGTAAAGCAAATAACGACAGTTGACAGCAATATGTTGATTTAAAATCTACCAATCATCTGCGAGTTTCATATAAGCCGTGTTATTGGTTGTAAGTTTAGGTACTTGATATTTCAAATTCTCCAAATAATTTCGATAATTTAGTCAAACGAAATATATTATTAATTAGAAAATAAATCAGCATTTACCTTTTTTTAATCTATGGATGCAGATGAAAATACGTTAAAATAATAAATAATTGTTTGGAAGCATTCAATTACAGAAGGGGGGTGGAGCTACAGAAGTGTCTCGTGTGAACATAGTGTTCTGGGACCCTATTCTTGACTCTACGTATTTATCAATGTCATTCGTTTTGTCAACCAAAACGATGAACTTTGGTCGAATGGTATTCTTGACCGTTCGAGAATATTTGGAATTCGTAAATATCATTCGTTTTTACAACGAGCGGAATAAGCCACTCGAATTTATACATTTACCAAGGGAGATTTAAGTAACTGCAGCAAAGAGTTCTTATCCGAACTTATCGATATGTACCTACGTCCTATAGGAACCATCGTTTACGTAATTAATGCACGTGCATGTCTTAAGACGAGTCTCTCGATCTGAGTCTGGCTTTACAGCGCATCACATAGCATATTCATTCTTTTCGTGAGGGTGAGGCAGTTACCAATTAGATGTTGGAAATTCATCATATTTAGCTGTTTCGCAACCAAAAACAAACTATAATAGAATTCACTGTTCGCAACCACTTTTTGCAATTTACGCAGCTATGAGAAAGCAGTTGCAGTTCAATTGTGTCGTCACCAAACTGTTGTCAAGGAAACTACTAGCAATTTCTACGTTGCCAAACATATCATTCGAATTGAAATGATAAAGGTTACGAAGGGTACACATGAATAGCGAATGATAGTCGTATGCGACTTTTCATACATCGTTTTAAAACGAATACGAATCAATTCGAGTTAGGTCATGAATAGCACCCTTGTTCTACCCCCATGACCTGTGCCACTGGGTATGGTGGTCGCCTCGTCTCCAATTCGTAATACGCATCCTAACGAAGAGCCGTCGCGGTACCCCTAACGAATATTACAGATTTCATTGCAGATGATGTAAGTAGCGAATTTTTTGTGTATTTTGCATAATAGGGATTTCTTAATGAGATCTGCACCACGTCACTAATTTACTGTGAACCAATTTCAAATTGTTACCATCTCTTTCTCAGATATGCGTTGACATGTGATAGAGAATCAAGAACTCTATTGAAATTTGATTCACAAACTAGTGACGTAAAGCTAAAGATCATCTTTGGTGCAAGCGAGTAAGTTTCTTGCTTCAATTGACAGCAATCTGACGCATTTTTATTGCCACAATGTCGATTTCGTAGTAGCTCAATGTGGCAGAATCTACGCTTTACTACTAATTTTGTAACTTGTAAAAAGAGAAAGTAGTTTAGATTTAAATATAAGTGAAGTGATTCATGAAAAAACCTTGACATACCTACTTGAAGTAGTGCTGCTAGTAGTGCCGTCTCGAGAGTATTAACGCTCCTTACGTTACAGCCATCTTGGTTGGGGCGGCCGTCGAGAAGGTATCGTCATCGTGTACAACACTATGGTATCACAGCTTACTTACTAAGCTGTGATGGTATCGTGTAGTTTACGTTTGTTGTTTTTTTGTGTTATCTTTGAATATAAAATTTTATATTCAAAGGTGTTATTTAATGCCGGGAGTAATATAATATATATCTTTGCATTTCTTTATAATTTATAATACAAATTTACACAAATTTATAATATAAACAAAAGGGTTCAATAAAATATATGAGATGCTTTTTGAGTTTTAAATTTTAAGAGGCGATTTTGAAATACGTTTTCGTTTCAAAATGTTACAAAGAAGTGGGAAAAGCCAGTAAGTAAGCAAAACAAACAAACTTGTACCAAAATCACAGACAACGTTATCTTAGGTTATGTTTGCAAAATCTAAACTACTCTTAAAAGCATTGGAACGTTTTCGAGTTTAACGTATGTTGGTAAAAAAGGTTCTAAGTTTAAGAAGATATTTGAGATACTTTTTAAGTTTAGGAATAGGTTTGAAATACATTTCATGACATTAGGTTTTACCGCAGTCATGACAGCGAGTTTTCTCGTTAACTTCGGATTTTTTTATGCTCGTGGCGTTGGACTTTGATCACGGATTTTCCCAAAGGTCGTCCGAGGTTATTGACTTGAGATTTCCGTAACGTCGTTGACCTCGGGTTTTCAAAGCTCGTGACCTTGAACTTTGACACGGGTTTTCCCCAAGGTGGTCGTTGGGGTCATTGCCCTGAGAAAAACTGTGTTTTAGAACTTGCAAACGTTTTCGAGTTTAGCTGTATATGTTGGTAAAAAAGTTTCTAAGTTTTAAGAAGATATTTCAGGTACAGCAAGCAACGAAGACCCTTCTCACAATTCTTTACTTTCTTCATTATGTCGCTACTTAACTTTGGGTTATTCCGACTTTGCCATTGCATAACCAAACCGGTGATGACTATCCGGCACTATCACAATCCGACGCCAATCGTACCGGCGCGGCGCTCGGTCAAACCGGCGATTGACCAGCCGGCGCTCGACCAATCTTCCTCACCCCGTGCCTTCTGATTATTACCTTTTCGCACTTGTTGTGTTCATTAAGTATAATTTGCTTCTTTTCAAGTCACTTGATTTGATCTATTTAAATCATTGAGTTATTTAAATACTAGTATTGTTTAGGATGTGACAGTCTCTTCTGCCTGCGATTCGGGTTCCGGTCCGATTCCGGTCAACCTAACAGTGACACGCTACTACACGTCGTTTATGTGAGAATCGACCTTTAATGTAATTATCGCAAGATTGTTTTAACTTCTTATTTAAATATTAACTGCATTCAAACAGAAGAAGTAAGAAAATGCCAAACACGGACTGCGGTCCTGGCTGCGTAATCAATATGATACAAGAGATAAAGTTACGATTTTTCGCTTTTCCAAAAATGAAGACTTACAAAAAAAGTGGTTGACATGTATTCATCGGGACAATTTCGAAATTACTAGTTACTAGGGTTTTATATAAAACATTTCTCGGACAACTTCGTTATTCGGATAGATAAGTAAACTATTATACAAGACGGTACAGTTTTAGCAGTTCCACGAGACCAAATTAAACTCACAAAACGCGTTAGTAGAAGGGGGACACCTTCCGCCATCTTGGATTTTGTGACGTCAGCTGACCTTGGGTTTTTCCCAAGGTCATGGGTTTTTCCCAAGGTCGTGGGTTTTTCCCAAGGTCATGGGATTTTCCCAAGGCCGTTTCTTTGGGTTTTCCCCAAGGTCGTGACCAAGGTTGGGGTTTTCCCAAGGTCATGGCTTTGGGTTTTCCCAAGGTCGTGGTTTTGGGTTTTTCCCAATGTCGTGGCTTTGGGTTTTCCCAAGGTCGTGGTCTTGGGGTTTTTCCCAAGATCGTGACTTTGGTACAGGATCATGGTCTTGGATCCTGGGGCAGGGTTGTGATTATGGATTCTGGATCAAGGTCGTGGTCTTGGATGCTGAGTTGAGATTGTGTGATTTGGATTCTGGGATTTGAGTTGGACTAAAATTGTGCTCTGGGATTTTCCTAGCGAATTTAAAAGAGAGAGGTGTAGAGAAAAATAAGAGATGTTGTATTACAAACCTAATCTAAGTACATACTCTTAGAAAATGGTAATCCATACATTTCAAATTTTACAAAGAAGAAGAAGAGGAAAAAGCAAAGCGAGAAGCAAGCAAAACAAGAAAATATTTGTGTACTTACTTTTTCTTAGTTTTTGTTTGAAAATCCTTGTTTTTCCAAGTTTATCCACACACACACACACCCTAACATATAAGAAAGAGAGATGCACAGATTAGCACTGTATAATTACGTAAACTGCAGTAGATTATGCGAGGCTAATAAAACTTGTAACAATACGTTAGGTGATGTTAATGAGTCGGTAGTCAAATACTAACTGAAATTAGAGCGTACATTTCTTATTTGGGTATTTCCCGAGGCCATTGCAATGGGTTTCCTCAAGTCATGGCCTTGGACTATGAACTTGTCGTAGCATTGGGTTTTTCCCAAGGTCATGGTCTTGGACTTTGACCTCCCCAAGGTCATGGTCTTGGACTTTGACCTCGAGTTTTTCCAAGGTCGTGGTCTTGGACTTTGACCTCGAGTTTTTCCAGGGTCGTGGTCACGTAGTCGACCGCTATGCTTTAAACCATATTTATGAACCTCACTCAAAAGGGATGCTTTTTTATAAAAAATCAACCGATCTTTAAACGATTTTAACTTGTCTTTATTAGTATCAACCCTTAAATGTAAACAAATTTATATTACAAAACGTAGCAGTATACAATAAACGGATGATGTCGTCGTTAGACTTTAAGTTATCATTAAACATGTTTACAAAATCGCTAGTGGCAACATTATTCATTTTAAAAACTAAGTACATCAAGCAATATTGGCCGCAAAAGGTCGAAAGGGGATGTTGTAACATTTTATAGTTACATGTAAAACGTCTAGAGTTGGCTTTCAAAAATTTTAAATGAAGGCCACATGGAGACCTTCCGAAGGAATCAAAGAATTCGCCAATTCCATCTTTATCGATGTAGATAGCGTTCCAATGTTGACCAGGTCTGGTGGAAACATCTGTATTGACTATAAGTCCATATGGACGACGAATAAATTTTGGTAATTTATCAGCTGCAAAAACACCAGGCCTTACAGAATCCTGTATGTGATTCAGGGCTCGTTGAAGTTCTAGGGAATTCATCGGTGGAGCTAATTTGGGTCCATTCGTATAGCATTAAAGCGTTTTCTTGCGAGCACATTAAAGTTTCACTGTTATGATTCAAGCACCTAATGCCTCCAAATTCTTTCTTCAGCTTCTTTAAAGAAGGGCATCCGCAATCCTCTGCATTTATTATAGGTTTGTTTAGGAAATTTAGAATGTACTGCTTCTCTAGTCCTTTAACATAGATCTTGCTAAATGGCTGTAGCAGGGTACGTAGTTCCTCTTCAAAATTTTCATATCGAATGTGACCGGAGGTCCACTTTAAGCCATGATAATAATCCTCTAAATATCGAATCTCTTTTTTTTCATAGTTGCAGTAATACTATAATTTTGAGGGGGTTTTATTAATAGAGTCG